TATCTTCCACACACTCCAAGAATCTCCTAAACTGCTTCCTCTCTGCTGTGTTCTGTTTCCAGCAAATGTCTGGCAAGTTGAAGTCTCGCACAAGAACAAGGGGGAGCAATTGCGAGACTTCTGACAGCTGCTTATAGAATGCCTCATCTGCTTCTTCCTGCTGGTAGGGTGGCCTATAACACACTCCCAGCAGGGTATCAGCCTTGTTAGCCCTTCCCCTCATTCTTACCCATAGGCACTCAAACTTATCATCACAATCCTTGAGTTCTATACAATCAAAACACTCCCTAACATACAGAGCCACCCCACCTCCTCTCTTTCCTTGCCTATACCTTCTAAAGAGCTTAAACTGATGTATGGACTGCAACAAAAATGGGCAAGATAAGGCTCTTTGCTTCCCAATAGCTGTGTTATGAGACCTACCTTAAGACCACCTTGCTCAATCCCCATTTACTTCAACAATGGTTTTGAAATGTCCATCCAGTGGCCTGTCAAGGCACCAATTTGTGGTACTTTGGGTAGAGCTGGAGGTGTCCCATAAAGCTGACACCTGTAGTTTTCTTGTTACTGTATTTGCTGATGTAGATAATTAATTCTCTAACTTAGGATGAGCAGCCTATTATATTAATTAATTTACTGAATGAGTGCCCAAAAGCATGGGATAGGTACCCATTGAGAGAACTGTTACCACAACTACTCTCTCATTTTCATGTGAAAAATACTGTTTCGGTCATGAGCACTCTGAGTGCAGTTCATTCTTGTGCCACCCCCTGCAGTTTCCATGGTGCATCCACACGATAGCCTTGTTTATTAAAAAATATACACACCAATTCACCCACAAAAATAAATGCTTGGCAATCAAAAGAATAACACCCTGCCAAGCAGGGGTATAAGCTCAGTAATATCTGAACAGTGACTGGTCTATGAAGAAAAGTAAATACAAACAAGAAGCCTAAAGCTAGAACTCATCTAGACTCTCAGGTTGTGGAATGGCAGCTTGTTGAAGTATACTAATTTAACTCAAACTTAAAGAAAGTTTGCCACAGAAAGACAAAAAGAAAGACTTCAAATACTCTGAACAGTCAGAGTTACTTTGGGGAAGGGGGAGAAAAAGGACCCTTCACATGGTCTTCACCTTAATGAGAAGGAATTTAATAGCCAATTTTCTTCTTAGAGGGTGCCATCAGAAACTGTACTGATTTATAAGGCAGGTCAGTGCAGCCTCCTATAAGATTTCCTTCTACCTCCTAGGGCAAATGCCTTCATGGTAGGCTGCAGCATCACACTGAATGCCTCCAATAGCTCTCAAACCAATTCCCCAGCTGGGTGAGTTAGCCCAGCTAAAGCTCTCTGCTGCCACAGCTCAATGACTTCTGGTACTCCAACCTGCCTTCCTAGAGCTAACATGAAGGCAAGCCGTGCAGAGTAAACAGGTCTTACTGGTGACAACTGCAACACAGAGCAGTTGGTACTCCTGATGACTCCTAAGCGAATAAGCTTCCAGTGTAATGGAGTATTTGGTCTGAGAATGTGAAAATACCTAAGTGCCAGGTCCTGCACTTGGGTCACAATAACCCCACGCTTGGGGAAGAGTGGCTGGAAAGCTGCCCAGCAGAGAGGGACCTAGGGGTGCTGATCAACAGCCGGCTGAACATGAGCCAGCAGTGTGCCCAGGTGGCCAAGAAGGCCAATGGCATCCTGGCCTGCATCAGCAATAGTGTGGCCAGCAGGACTAGGGAAGTGATTCTCCCCCTGTACTCAACACTGGTGAGGCCACACCTCAAATACTGCATTAAGTGTTGGGCCCCTCATTACAAGAAGGACATTGAGGTGCTGGAGCATGTCCAGAGAAATAGAACAAAGCTGGGGAAGGGTCTAAAGCACAGGTCTTATGAGGAGAGGCTGAGGGAGCTGGGGTTGTTTAGTCTGGACAAGAGAAGGTTGAGGGGAGACCTTATCACTCTCTACAACTGCCCGAAAGGAGGTTGTAGCGAGGTGGGTGTCTGTATCTCTTCCCAAGTAACAAGAGACAGGATGAGAGGAAATGGCCTCAAGTTGTGCCAGGGAAGGTTTAGACTGGATATCAGGAAATATTTCTTCACTAAAAGGGTTATCAAGCATTGGAACAGGCTGCCCAGGGAAGTGGTTGAGTCACCATCTCTGGAGGTATTTAAAAGACATGTAGATGTGGCACTTAGGGACATAGTTTAGTGGTGGACTTGGCAGTATTAGGTTCTAGGTTGGACTCGATCTTAAAGCTCTTTTTCAACCTAAATGATTCTGTGATTTTATGATTCTTTATTTGTGATCAGAGAAACCAACACTGTTCTTTCATGACACTCTAGCTGTGTTTTTGGGGTTTGTTTGTTTGTTTGTTTATTGGTTTTGGTTTTTTTTAAGCTAACTTAAGCATCACTGCTTTCTTCACCTGGTCACAAGCAGAGGAATCTAAAAACCAAAGCACCTCTCTTCAATAGGGGAAAAAAAAGTCATTACTATGACTACTGAAATAAAGTAATTATCTAGTGACACACAGCATATGTATAGGATTTGCTGTACCAAAATGCATGCATTTCTCAAATCCTTCAAGGTCTCATTCTCCAAGTACCTAACAATAAGAGAATACTAGGAACTCACTGAAGAGGGGGTTAATAGTAGAGCAAACATACCTTCGCACTGCTGCAGGATCTCTTCAGCTGTGGTGTCATAGTGTGTCAGGGGGTTGCTGGCATTACGGTACTATATTAAAAGATAGAAGAGCCATTAAATAGACTAGAAAGACAACTAAATTAACATTTCAAGAACATGACAAACATTCTCCAAGTCCCACAACAGCTACATATACTCTTTCCAGGCAGTTACCTTGTTAACTGCACCTATGCAGAATTCCCAAGGGGAAGTACAACCTTCCTAAGTGACCTAATTTAAGAGTAGTTCTAAGGTGCCAGCACCTTCCAATGCCAGGATCAGTCCTGTCTGTGGCATAGTTTCTTTTCAGATCATGATTCTTGTACTCATTCTTCCACGCAGGACTGCCCACTCAGTGGAAAGCCACCCACGCGCTGCAGGTTGTGCAAACAAAGGCTCGTTGCTGCCCTCTGGTGACTATGACACCTTGCTACCTTACAGCATGGTGATGCCTCAACTACAGCTCCAGACCTGGAACATTCTTTTCCTCCAGAGACACACCTAGGCAGCTGAAGAGTTGACCAAAGGCACTAAGGAACAAGGCTGCAATACCTCCTCCCACCCTATGCCTGCACCTCTGACACTTTGGCTCTTACCTGGTCTAGTATATGTGCATTGGGGATTTCATTTTTCAGTCTCCATGCTACTCCAACGTGAGATTCAGGAGAATCAAATCTGGCACTAGTTGGGGTCCTCACAATCTCAGCACCCAGAGCTCTCAGGACATCCACCTGTAGAAGACAAAGGTGGTCACAAAACACAAAACCACTCTCCCAGAACAGAGAATTCAGTGCGATGGAAGGGAAAGAAAACGTCTTCCCTTTCACCTGGTCTGCAATAGCCTCCTTAGCAGTTCTCCTGCACCCCAGCCTCACAGAATCATTGAGCCATGGGACCAAATTCTTAACATAGTTTAGTCTCAACCAAGCCTGGGAGCTAGATTTCAAATTCCTGTTTCTATTCTAGGCCTTCAGGCCTGTAGGGACTGTTACTACATACTGAGAAGCCTCACTCAGGCAAAACACCATCTCCTCTCATGCCAGTCACATATGGTCTGGACTCCAACAATGCTATAGCCCAGTACTTTATGTTTAAGTGTAAATTATGTATGTTTACCTTTTCCTTTGGACACAGGCAGCAAAGGATATCCTCCAGGGCACTATGCACCACTCAACTGCTATGGAGGCAAGAAAGTTTATGACACTCAGCTAAGGCAAGGCCTGTCTTCAGAGGGAAGGCCTTTGTTGCTGCGTGGCACGTGGCAATGGCCATGCAGTAACTCTCCCTCCAGAGCAGCTAAGAGCAAGCAATGGGTATGGACCTTCGGGGGACACTGTTCTCATTTGTGTTGCTGCCTTTCAGCTGGACCACTGGAAATGTCTGAACTGAGATAAGTGGTTTTGCTGACAGTGATTTGCTGCCTCACCTGTGAAACACAGGATATCTCTTCCCTTCTTTTGGCTGCAGGTACAGCATCACAGTGAAGGTAAGGGGATGTTACCCACGTGGCTTCTCCTTCCCCTTTGCTGCTGTGGTGACAAAATTCAGATGCTTCCCAGTACCCCCCAGTGTGACCTGGGGAGCTCAGCATGCTCCTTCATGGCCTCGCTCAGCCCAGGGCAGAACAGAAGAATATTCAAAGCTTCAGCATTGCCTTACTTTGTCCTCCTTTGCTCAGTGAGTGCCAGCTAACCCGGGGGCAGGTAGTTACTTCAATGTGCTAAGTAAATCTCAAGTTCCTTTGACATTTGTATGTAAAACAGTTATGACAGTTTTGCAAGCGACAATGCTGTGGGGATGGGTCTTAAACACATTCCCATCCATGGCTAGCCAGCCTGGATTTCTCTTGGCACTGGCAACAGGCCCTCAGCAGAGTTCTCCCTGGCCAATGGCTTGGAGGCCAAAAGCCTACATCTTTGTTGCTGAAGCCACAGCACTCATCTGCAGCAGGAACTCCACAGGTGCAAACATGCTTATTTTTTGATTCTTGAAAAGAAAAGCAGATCTGACCTTCTCCATACTCATTTTCTCTGGCATCACAATGATACAGCGGTAGCCCTTCACTGCTGCAGCCAAGGCCAGCCCAATTCCTGGAAGCAAGCAAAGACGTGTAGAGAGTACAGTGAGGAGCAGCAAGGAACAAAACCCACAGTGCTAGCTTTGGCTTGCCCGGGCTTTAATCAGATTTTCACCAGATGCTTGAATACAGTATCTCTAGAGGGGTGGTAAAGGGAACATTTCTGGCTACTGGGGAGAACTGGATTTACAGATGCTGCTCTGTGGATCACAGCAAACAGAAAGTTTAGCCAAGGGTGGGAAACCTTGACATGTGCAAACTGCTAGCTTTACCACATCCACATCACCTTGCTCCTGTCTCACCCACTTGATTTTTACAGAAGTAATTTGGGAAAGGAATGAGCTTTAATCTAAAGAAGACTAGAACAATTATCTCAATACTGTCAGAACAGCATTAGAGCTTGTATTGACTCACTTCTGCATTAAATCCCTAGTTTGCAATGTGCTGAAACTAAATCCTTTCTAAAAAGACATGATTAAATGCTGTTTGTGATTGAGGCTCCAATGCACTATGTCAACTTGTTACCACAGTGAAGTACCTTGACTGTTAGACACCTCATTTCTACTTTATGAATCTGTAAATTCTCCAGCCTGATTTCTGCCTTCCACCTTGTCATTGTCTACCTACCAGAAGAGCTAAGCTCCAAAGTGCCTTCCCCATAGAAGCCTACCCCTGCTATCAGATCACCTCCCTGTTGGATAAGAGGATCAGATCAAGTTAGTTGATTCGTGTCTGAGGTCAGGCTGCACGGTACCTCCCCTGCTGTTTTGGGTACCAGGCACAATACCAGCACATGCCCATGACAATGCCTCACAGGCAGTTTACCCTACACAAAGATTTGCTTGTTCAAAGCTGGCTCTGTCTCTGCATGGTGCTGGACTGCATAGGGGTAGAAAAAAAAACTTTAACCGTTCCTGTAAGAGAGGCGTAACTCACACCTCAAGTAATTCAAGTAGTGTTTAAATATTTAGGAGGAGAAAAAAAAAAAACCCCCACAACTTTTCCCAGTATATTATTGATAAATATGGATGCCCAAATGAAAAAAAATTAAAAAAGAAAAGACAGCAAAGGCCTCACTAAGGTCAAAGACTGAAAAGAAGCCACCCAACACTCTCCCTTATGGTCTGTGATGAACAAACCCCTTTGAGACCTGAACTCTTAACACTTTGTACTTTCTGCAGTTGACCTGGAAATGCAGCAAACATCAAAACAGGACTTTGGCTGAGGGAGAGGTGGGATGCAGATTGGACAAAAATATTACACATTAGCACTCACATTTAACATATTCATCAGTGCTGAGCAGCTGCCTAGAGCAAAAGCCAATTCTCTCAGGTTACTGTCTGCCCTGGTCTTTACTTTTACATGAAAAGAGACAGCTTTCTGAAGTAATTGTTCTGCATCTCCTTCAGTTCTGCCTTCTTTTTTGGATTCTGTGGCAAGGAGAACCATTTATCAGGTACTGACCCAGAAAGCAGGATGTCATAGTATGTCCTCAGACGCTGGAGGAATGCAGTATATATGGATATTTTCCACTACATTGCATTATTCAGGCAAGAGGTATAGCCACAGTCACAAGGGCTCCAGTTGCACTGCAGCCCCCACAGAGCAGCTGCTGAGGAAACAGCAACAGGTATGACTTCCCAGATTTCTGTGGAATGCAGGGGAACTGGTCACAGATCAGCTCATCATCCCAGCCCCTCCGCTAACAAAGGCTGGACTAGATCAAAAGAACAAAAGAAAGATGTGCCTGGCCTGCATCTATGAGAAGGCAACAGTGTATGGATGCCCAGGAAAGAGTTTAAGAACAGGACAAGACATTCCAGAACACACCAGGGAGAAGAGTAGCTTGTAGCTCAGCTCAGGTAGCTCCTCAGAGGAAGCAGGATATTTTATATTTAACTAGCTCAAGGGGGAGTATTCCAGGTACATTTACTCCCTACCAGTAGAGCAGCTTAACAGAAGTACAACAGCTTTGACACAGGAGCCCAGAGTTAACTCCAGTCTGCTCAGATCATCAGATGCTCTGCCCTGGCCCCTGACTAGCAGGACTGTTCCCTCCTCCAGCCCTCCAAGGAAGAGATGCTAATCCAAGTGGAATCTGTTAAAAATCTACATGTGCAAGGGTTGTGTTAGCAGACAGGACAGTGGTGATGCAGCTCATCTCCCATCTCAACTGCATCAACACAGGAAAAGCTGCTTCTCAAACCAGGCCCACTTCACCTAACAGAGGAATGATGGGACTTCCTAAACAGAATGGAAAGATCCAGATTCACACCAATCTTTTAGTGCTTTTTTTCCAATAATTTCAGTTCAACTTTAATTCCTGGATAGGACCTAAAGACCCCAGGTGAATCTGGCCTAATACCTCTTTTCTTTTAAAGCAAATTTAGCAAACCACCTTCCCAGCTGTTCTGATCAGCACAGGATACCGCAAAGTTGTTCCTTGTGCAAGATGGAAGAGGTACTGCTCCCTACACCACACAGGCAGGAAGGGATCCCCTTTCTTCCTTGCACAGGCAGCCTCCATGCTCCAATCTCAAGTCTGTCCTTTCCAGGAAAACCACCACAGCATTTTTCCCCCATGCTTTGCTAGGGTCTCTCCATCCCCTACCTGTGTTTCCAGAGGTTGGCTCTATGATAGTGTCCCCAGGCTTCAAGATCCCAGCTTTTTCAGCATCTTCTACCATCCTCAGGCTGATGCGGTCCTTCACACTGCCCCCAGCATTGAAGAACTCACATTTTGCCACTGGAAACGAAGAAACAAAGTAGAGTTCTTAAACAGCAGTCATTCGCTTCACAGGCTGCTGATCCCCAACACATCTGCAAGAGCAACTCTGTTAACATGTCTGCCCAGTTGACCTCCCTACTTTAAAACATCAGAGATGAGGATTCAGTTCACAGTATCTACACTGTTATGGGTCACAACAACAAAGCAAGTTCGGTACTTGATGCTGGCCATAGAAGCCAGGAACCCATACTCTGTTAGTCTCCCCAAAATATGACCTCTTCTTTTATCTTTCCTTTTTATTATAGCCCAGTCATTGTGAAAAAAAGCCCCAGGGCTCTTCCAGCGCAATAGCATGGGGAAAGAGAACTCTACCAGCATGCCTTGCATCTTTTGTGCTACCTTCTCCAGCTGAAGAATTTCTGATCAAACTGGAAGCTTCTCCCCTTGTTCAGCCTATACTTTCACTTCAATACTCCCAGCATTAATCCCTTCAATGGTGTTAAACGCTACCTTTCAGGACTCTGATCAGAGCCTCCAGATATCTCCAGTATGGTTGGGTTTAAAAACAAACAAACCATCCACTGACAGTTTCATCCCTTTCATAATTTTCAATGATCTTTAATGGTAACTGCAGATCTGCATTTTACATACACTGATGAATACTCTGAACGAGATGCAGTCAAAAACTTCATACAACTTTTTTAAAATAAAAAAAATATTTTCTATTAAAAAAGTTTTACACTTGCTACAAAAATGGAAAAGCTGCAGGAAGTGTCCTCATGAGGTACAAAATGAAAGATGTTTTAGATGACCAAATCCTAAAAATCTGAAAATCTGCCGAACAAAAAGAGGAATTTTTCTCACCTTTTTCAGCAGTGTACCTGCACTTCTCCTATACCCAGGTTACATGTCACTACTAACCAGGACTACCCAAGTTTCTGAAACAGTGTTTCTTATCTTTATTTTCTGCCTGCAGCAGTACTCACAGAGTTCACACTTGAGCCCATGCTGTTTCCCAAGCTTGTTGATTCGCACCATGGGTGTATCACCAACTTTATCCAGGATGCTTGGCAGGATTTTCAGGGGCTCTGGCCTGGTACACATACAAACAAAGTCAGTGTATTCACAGAAGGGGCCACAGGCAGGTCACACAACAGAAATACAGTATTTCCACTGCTTTTTATTTCAACCATCTTTCTCCCTCCCCTTTACCAGGCTAGTTATTTTAGGTATCTTAGTTTAAAAGAATATCAGTTGGATACACATTCACAAAATATCAAGTCCTTGATCCAAAACAAGGATTAATCAGTCATCAAGCCAAGCACTGAGGCAAGAATGAAGTGCTCTACACTTCCTCCTGGCATGAAGCAGCTTAGCACTGCTCAGAGTCAGCTATTTTACAAGCAAAAAGGCATTAACAGTGCAATCTTTGACCTTATCAGGGAACTGCTTGAAACAAGTTAGCTCCAGTCCATGTAGTTTCACATCTTTGGTGCAAGACACCTTGTATGCTTAATCTGGGTTCTTAGCTTTGCTTACACATGGAAATTAAGAAGCACCAGCATATCTACGTGCTAAATAGCATCAAGTTAAGTCAGTCATCTTTTGTTAAATCCACATGGCTCTGAGGGGACCTGGATTAGTGTTGTACTGAAAATCAGCAAATAAAAGTAATACTTACAGAGTGGTATGACGATGGGGGGAGGCAGACAGGGGTTTCCCAAGCCTCCATGTGCATTTGCTAGGTGTATCAGGGCGGATCCACTCCCTTTCCTTCTCATTAGCCTTGCAGTTCTCACTGTCCATCCCACCAGGGAGAAAATATTTGTCAGGTGCATGAGGGCATGAGTTCTTATCTGGCTTCTCCTGGGAAGAAAGGGTAGGCGTTTCATCCTTGGGGGAGGGGGAAGGAAAAAAAAAATAAAAGTGAAAAAGGAGGAAGAAAAAAACAACCCACAAACGAGAAATTTGTATGCCCTGCTGTAACAAGGTGAGAGCATCTTTTGAGACTATGAAAGTTATTCAATTTTTGCACCATGTGAAACTACCCATTAACATCACTGCCCACCCTACAATAGCTAAAAATCATGTTACTAATAAGTCCTTATGCTTGTCTCTGTCCTTTCACCAACATACCTATTTCCAGTCTCGTGTTTCAGTATGCAGTTCTTCTGCGGGAAGCTGGAACAGAAACTACCCTGGTGACAATTTTCAAGAGAGAAGTATTGCCTATAAGGCAAAAGGGGCAATGGCAACACATAGCTTTTAACACCCAAGAACAGGTTCTGCCACTGACTGCAAGAGATCCTGTCACTGTACCTCAGACCCAGGTATTAGGGGAGAGAGCACAGCATGTCTCAGTTAGACAAATCCCATCCTCAAGCACCCATCTTGTTTTTCCCTTAGATGAAAAAGGTCACAACAAATGGGTATTTTAATGGTCAGTTGATGTTTCCATAGTACTGTGAAGCTAGGAAAGCATTTCAGTATAATTTTGATTTGCCAAATCCTTATCACCAGAACGAGAATCTTACACTGCAACACTGAGTGCAAAAGCTCAATACAGTGCCCTACATGAAGATAACTTAAACACACTGAAGCATGTGCTTCCTGTAACTAGCCTCCATAAATATCAAGAAAACAGGACTAATCTCATGGGAGACACCCACACCGAAATACAGCTCTCTGAAATAAAATCTCCCCATTCCAAGCAGAGAGGAACAGAATAAGACTTGGTGACTAATTAGAAAATGGTGCCAAAAGACTCTGCATTGCTACTTGTGGTCACGAAAGAGACCTCTTCCAGAAAGGCCACTGGTTTCAATAGCACCTACCTCCACAGCATTCCAGCAAAAATCCCAGAAATCCCTATGAAAACAGATAGGTCTTTCCCAAATTCTGGTAACAGAAAGACAGGCAAATAGTATTCCCCAAAGACCAATTAGTACCTTAGGCATAGAAACAGGCCTTTCTGATACCAATTTCTCCATGTTCTTTGGTGAAGGTAACAGCACAGCAGACTGGACTTTCTTCAGGAGACCGAGTACTGTAGGTCACAAGACAGGAATCCTCTTCAAACCTGAAGATCATGCAAGTCAGGAAAAAAAAACCCAACACTATCAGGAAACAGTCTCTTGTAGGGGCAAGACACGTCCCACTTTCATAGGGGAAAAAAAGAAGCACAAAGAAGTGAAGATGACTTGCATAGGCAAGACAGAAAACCATGCAGCAGAGGTACTGCACAAGATCCATGAAGGGTCTCCTGACCCTGTTCTTCCTGTGTTACCTTTTCTCCCCTCTGCCCTGTCCTCCACAGCTCAGATCCAGTAGAGTAAGCAGAAAACATCCCTACTGGACTGTCTGCAATTTCATGGGCTTGACAACGACACAAAGTAACAGAAAATACTTCAGTCCAAAGGATATATACTTCTAGAGACACCAAGGGTGAAAGGGCATCATGGGGCCGTCACCAAAAGACCCTGTACACAACTTAGGGAAACACTCTATCCAGGAACACTTGCAGAGGCCTCTCTACCCTTGAGAAGACCTAGATCTCGCTTGTTCCTGCCCAGGCTGAATTAGTGTTGAACACACAACTACAGCAATGCTGGATGTAACTTAAACCACAAGGAAGCCTTCCAGCAGGCTTTCTGTTTCAGAAATTAGTAAATATAAAAACGAAAGGAGTAAGTTCATTTCTTCTACTCTAGCCAATTGTTCATAGAAACTGTCTGCCCTTACAGCTAGCTTCCTTTCATTCTATTGAAGGCAAAAAGCTGGTCGAAGTATTGGAAAGCATGTGTGTTTTTTTACTAATACTTGTTTTTCTCATCACCATTTTGCAGCAAGATTCATGGCTCTTTCCATTACTGAAATGTGCTAGGCCTGGAAAGGGTCCCTGGTCTCATCCTCCTTGTTCTGACAAAAGCACACAAAACAGACACAGCTTAGATCAGGCAGAGTTGATGATCTGGTGACACTCTGCAAAAAAATCTGAATCACAGGATCAGTGAACTTTAGCATTTGATCCTTCAAGTTAACATGCACCACTAACCACTATTGCCTTTAGAACACCAATTCCTTTCTCACATGCTTATTTGAGGAAAATGCCTAAGGCATTTAAACTGTCCTTCTTTAGGAAAAAAGCCTCTGAAGGTGCCAACTTCCCAGACTAAGGCTTGAAATAATTCTCCTTCTGGATGTAAGGACTTCCATGCCACCAAAAATTAACATCTTTGTTGGCAACATGGACAGTGAGATTGCGCGTGCCCTCAGCAAGCCTGCCAACGATACCAAGCTGTGTGGACCAGTTGACACGCTGGAGAGAAGGGATGCCATCCAGAGGGACCTTAACAGGCTTGAGAGGCAGGCCTGTGCAAACATCATGAAATTCAACAAGGCCAAGTGCAAGGTCCTGCACATGGGTCAGGGCAACACCAAGCACAAATACAGGCTGGGCAGAGAACGGATTGAGAGCAGCCCTGAAGAGAAGGACTTGGGGGTGCTGGTTGACAAGAAGCTGACCGTAACCCAGCAACGTTTGCTTGCAGCCCAGAAAGCCTAGCTTGTCCTTGGCTGCATCAAAACAAGAGTGGCCAGCAGGTTGAGTGAAGTACTTAAAGGGGGCCTACAGGAGAGATGGGGAGGCACTCTTCATCAGGGAGTGCAGTGAGCGGATGAGGGGTAATGGTTTTAAGCTGAAAGAGGATAGATTTAGATTGGATATTAGGAAGAAATTTTTCACTGTGAAGGTGGTTAGACACTGGAACAGGTTCCCCAGGGAAATTGTGGATGCCCCATCCCTGGAGGTGTTCAAGGCCAGGCTGGATGAGGCTTTGAGCAACCTGGTCTAGTGGGAGGTGTCCCTGCCCATGGCAGGGGGGTTGGAACTCGATGATCTTTAAGGTCCCTTCCAACCCAAACCATTCTATGAGTCTATGAAAACTATACCATTCTACTTTATTTAGGTTCATACATGCCCAAGAGCCAAGATGGGCTGCATCCCATCCGATACTACTGATCAGGACTAGACTGAGCGGCACCAGACCAAGAAAGATAATACCCCACAAATATACATAATCTAACACCATCCAGTCTTTGTCACCAGAAAAGAGCTTACTCCTAGTTCCAGAGCAAAACCCAGCCTTCATTTCTGTTTCTAGAAGGTGCCTCATTCACAGTTCAGAATATCAGCACTTTTTTAGTAAAGAAAAAATACTAGAGACATTTCAAGGCTTCCTATGAGCCACATCAACATGCTCCTTCAGACAGCTGGCATGCAATACTGGACAGAGACACCAACTGCCTCTGCCCACATGTAACACTGGCAATATTTACAAAGTCCATCTAATAAGGGTACCTTGCTGCCAAAGGATCAAACCATTTCAACAAGCAGGAAGAAAACAGCAAGGGGTTATAGACAAGCAACAGCAGATTTTGTTCATCTTCTAGGTTCTCATAAAACAGGAGTGCAAAACCTGACTTTAAATCACCAATCCTCAGTGTCCTTCAAGAGAGTCCAAAAACAGGAGAAAGGGAGAGAAAAGTTGTTGCAGTAAAAGTTTCTGAGGTTTCAAAAAATACGTACTTGTTCTTTGTACTGATGACAGGAAGGAAATGAACGTGGCCCTCTTCAAAAGCTGCCTTTTGGAGGATTCCCTCCAAATACCATCTCATTTACTCTAATATAAGGCAAAAAAACTCCACAACCCACTAACAGCAATACCCATCATTTCTTGGTACTAGAAAGAGCAGAAACGGTGGAAAAGCTATATTTATTGCCTTCAACTAAGCTGTGAGATTCTCCCATAGGTTTACAGGAATGGCAATACTCTGATGTTTGATCAAAGCTTCAGTAATGGGGCTAGAACTCTGAACAAAAACAAGGAGAGAGAGAAAAAGATAATCACAAGCAGTGCTAACAAAAATCCTGTCACCAAATACTAACCTTAAGCAACATAATTCACTAGAAGAAACACACACTCCTGTTCAATAAATCCCTTCAAATCATTTTATTAGGCATTATTTTAAATAACCTCACATCCACATAGCCCAAGTAGATAGGTATACATATATATATATTTATAAAGTCAAATTCTAATCACACTAGTAGAGAATCAGTCTCAGCTACAGTCAACCCAACATCTTAGGGTTCTGAAGAAGGACAAAATCCTAGGACAGATGTGGTTGCTCTCCAAGGGGAATTCTTACTACAGAACTCAATGGAGACACAGAAGCATCTGTGATGGCTTACTGCTATACCTAAGAAACAGGTCAGGAGACGAAAGAATGACTTCTCATGTTCAGAACCAACATGAAGACCTCAGATCTTTGAGCTCCTTCAGTGCTACTGATGAGCTTCGTGACACACCACTCAAAATATCCAACTGGTGCTTCCAGCCCTAGATGATGCAACTTGAGACAAACAGGGGGCAAAGGTGGTTAGTCTAGGACATTCAAATTCCCCCTAAGACCTACAATCCTCCTTACAGGCCATAGGAAGCTGGAGTATCTTTCTACTGGGCAGATCTTTGGGGGACAAAGGAAAGGGGGGTGAGCAGAAATTGCCAAAACATAGGACGATAGCAACTTTTTTACTAGCTTGATCCTTTTCTCAATCTTTCTTCTGGGAATGCTGACTTGGGGAGACAGGACAGGAGAATGGTCACTACTGTTCCAACTGCCATTGAATGCCACTCAGAAGAGTCCAAGAGAGCGAAGCTGCAGGAAGAATTGCCCATCTTCAGGAAAGAAATTCTGTCAGCCTGAATTTAAGTTTGCTGTAGAAGGGAACACTCATAAATAGCTGGGGGTGTGGGCAGAGTCTAACTAGAAAAGTCTGACTAACTTCTGACATTATATCTGCAGAGCACCTGAGGCAGAAAAATCAGAAAGACAATTTTAAAAATCACTTAAAAGTAAGTCACGAAGAGGACTGGGACAAAGGCAGAGTTATGAGATCCAGAAAGCCTTACAGTCAAGGCTCACATCTCTGAATCCATCTCTACAGGGAACCCAAGACCTAAACTATTTCTCAACTCCTACAGAACATGACTGAAGGCCACTGAGTGAAATTAATCCCCAAACAAACTGAGCTGAACTCACTCCATAAATATTCTAGGAGCTGCAGTTTCTAAGACTGTTTACAGTATATGATATCAGCCCTAATGCAGACATTTAAAGAGTATTATGTATGCGAGAACCTAATTAACTCGAGTCTCTTCCAAAGCTGTCTAAAACGCAGGTGTAAGAGGTGGATCAGAGAGAGATGCCCCAAGGGCTGACTACTCTGCAAGAGATGAGATACAGGATTCCATTATGCTTCAGCCTGAGTATGGGAAACTTTTGATGTTAAGTAGGTACTTTACTCTGTGAACAAGTAAACCACTAAAAACCAGTTGTTCTGCTCACTCTGAGTATCACAAGGTCTCAGAGTGCTTCAGGATCTTTACAGGTTACCAGATGTAGCAGCACCCATGCAGCCTTTGGAAGCTGTTTGGAAACACCACAGCTACAAGTGACTCAGGAGACAGACATTCATTTTTTTGTTTGGGTTTTTTTTTTTCTTCCTTCTTTCCCCTCCACTCTGCTACTTCCTCAGCAGCAGGCAGACACTGCTTGTGTATCAGGAGACATCAAGTGACCTGAAGTAACTACAGTATGAATTAACAGCACTGTAGCCCCAGGAAAAAATACTCTGAGAATCTACTCTTATCAGTTTTCCTCTACAGAGCAGATGAGCACAGGAGTGTCTTGTCAATGATCACTCTTCCTTTCAAGGATGGACTGGCATACTCATAAGCCTCCTGATAGGAAATGAGTAGTTCTTTAATGCCTCTGTAACACTGCACAGATGTTAAAACTTCAACAGCAAAGCAACTCCCACCACTATGGCAATTGATGTACTAGAGATCAGCCAGTGACAACCTGAAAGTGTTCAGTCTGCCTTCCCCCCAAAGGGAAGCTGTGCGTGCAGCTCTAATGCAGGTGT